GACAATGATTATTTTATAAGTTTTAGTTACAAAAATTATTTTATAAAATTTAGTTAAAATTTCAAAATACAGAATTAACTCCAGGTTCAGAGAACTTGTGAGACATCCCAGACGACTTTTGGGAGGATCTGAGGAAGCAGGGTGTCCCCATAAAGGTAGGAGCACGCCAACAGAAAGACTGCACTGTGGCCGTTACTGCGACCCTATATTGACCTTCGGTCTGTTGCATCCTTAGAAACACAACTCTTTCTTTATGCGTCATTGTAAAATTAAGAGTAATATTTTGATTTTTACCTTTTCTTCCAAGTTCTTCCTCCTCTTTTGGGCTTAGTCAATTCCCAATGTCTTTCAAGACTGAATTCCCCTCTCTGATCCTCAGGCAGATTTAAGCATGTCCTCTACTGTGTCTTCCTAAGACTTGCTCCTCTTTTAGAGCAATTATTCCATTTTGTCACAATTGTTTCTCCCATAAGATTGAAACCCACAGAGGGCAGGGAGCATGGCTCACGTCCGTCTATATTCCTAGTGCCCAACACCATGTCTGGCACATATTAAGCATTACTAAACATCTGTAGAATAAATGAGTAAAACCAGTAACCTACTGTCTGGTTGCTCCCTCCCTCCAGTCCCTCTCCAAAGGATCCCGATGAACTTATCATGTCTGGAGTGCCTCATGGCAGCTGTCCCGAAAGTCATCCATTCATTTATTCATGTAACATTTATTGAGAATCTACTCTGTGTCTGGGTCGGCTCTGGACCTAGGAATGTAACAATCAATAGGATAGGCAGTCTTTGCCCTCACAGAGCTTGTAAACAGACAAGTCTCAAATGCTGAGATAAATGCTAAAGTAGAATGGCATGGATCATGGCATAGGAGCACCTTTCAGGAGGAGGCAGCATCTAGACTCAGATCTTCAGGATGAGGAGTAAGCCAGATAAAGCGACATCCGTTTAAGATAGAAGACAGTCAAATGCAAGGGAGCTCAGGCTGGAAGGGTGAGGGATGGAGCTGGAGAGTCGGGCAAGGTCATGATGAGCCTTACAGGTTGTCGTAAGAAGTGTGGACTTTACCCTGGGCAATGGGACACTTGCAAAGAGATTTCATCTGAGGTACGTCCTGGTCAGATTTGCAAGAGCAGTGTGGCTGCTCTGACAATGGACTGAACATGGTGAATATGAAAACTGTTTTTCTCTCTACACCTACGCTCACATCAAACACTTCTCCACCAGATGTGCATGTGATGTCCCCACAAGCAATTCTCAGACAGCAGCTGGGTGTCCTACAATTTAACTCAACTCTGACACTACCTATCTGGAGACAGCATCAGACCCCAAGGTTAAGGGCTCAGTCCCACAAGACTACCTCCCCACACACCTCCCCCTCTTTCAGATGCCAGTGGGAAATCCAGGTGTCACCTGTGCTTCTGACCGACCAGCTATAAATCAGAGGGTCCCACGACCCCTTCCTTGAGTTTGATCAGTTTGCTAGAGCACCTCACAGAACTCAGGAAAACATCACTTAGCATTACTGATTTATTACAAAGGATATTGAAGGACACAAATGAACAGCCAGATGAAGAGAGACACAGAGTGAGCTCTGGAAGGGGAAAAGAGCACACAGAAGAGCACAGAGCTTGTGTCTCTGTGGAGTTTGGGGTGCACCACCTTCCTGGCATGATCCTTGTTCCCGGAGGCATTCTTGTTCACCAACCTAGAAGCTCTCCAAATCTCGTCGTTTTGGGTTTTTAGGGAGGCTTCATTAGTAGGATTGATTAAATCATTGGCCATCGGTGACTGATTCAACCTACAACCCCTCTTCCCTCCAGGAGCTCAAAGTTCCAACCTCCAATCACAAGGTCGGTTCCCCTGGCAACCAGTCTGGTTATCTAGGTGCTTTCCGAAAACCACTTTATTAACATAAACTCAGGTGGGTTGAAAGGCGCTTGTCAGGAATAACAGGATTCTTTATTGCTCTCACCACTTAGGAAATCCCAAAGGTTTTAAGAGCTGCGTGCCAGGAATGTGGATGAAGTCCAAAGTATGTATTTCCAATACCACAGAGGGCAAGACTGAAGGCAGAGTTGAAGTAAACTAGTTGAGGCACAATGGAGGAGGAGGAGGGGAGAATCAAGGACACACCTAAGGTTTCTGGCTTTGATAAGTAGGGACGTGGTTGTGTCATCATCTGAGGAAGGAAATTCAGGAGGTGATTTGTGGGGGAGGAAGAGACAATCAGTTCAACATGGAATATGCTGAATTTAAGATGGTTTTGAGACATCCAGGTGAGATATCTGGTGTCCACTTAACTTAGTGTGGAATCAGGAAACCAGTTCCGAATAAGGACCAGAGCTACAGCTAGAGATTGGGCATCTGTAACACACAGGCAATAATCAGTTACAGGCTTCCATGAGATCTTCCAGGCAGAGGACCCAGGATGGAACCCTGGGGAATGAAACCTTGAGGGAAGGCCAGAGGAGGAAGAACGAGGAAGCAGCACAGAAAAGGAGCGGTTAAGGGAGCTGGTGTCATGGAACACAAGCAACATAGAATGTCCCACTAAGACACATCCTGAAATATTTTTAGCATATGCACAACCATATACAAAGAGAATGTGTGAACATACACACATTCACAGTAGAAACAAACTTGGGCACATATAAGTAAAGGCTGCAAAAAAAGAAGAAAAAAATCCAGTCATCCTTTTTGAGTCAACCTAGGCAGAGAAGAGTGTCCTTTCCTTATTAACACCTCGCTAGCCGGGAGTCAGCAAGGATGGAGCTGCAGCATTGACACTGTCCTTCCCTGAGTCTTGGCACTATTTTCTGTGCCTAAAATGCTCTAATCTCCCTTTTTCTTTTTTTCAGTCTTTCTCTTCCTCATTCTTTAAGTCCAGCTTAGATTTCATGTCCAAACTGGAAGCCTTCCAGCACCTCCAACATCTTGTGATTCCCAATATAATGAACTCTTATCTGTCCCCTCCAGTAGATTCTAAGCAGGCACCATGACTTCTTGCTTAGCACACTGTTTAGCATTTGATAAGTATTACATAAGCAAATGGATAACCTGAATTCTTCACCTTTCCTCAAAATAAGTGGTGCAGCCTCATAGTTTGCCAAATAAGTCACGATTATTTAGTTGCATTTTAGACTTCCCCATTTAGTTCCAACCCCTCTAACCTTAACTCTGGACACAGCTGCATCCCCTAAGATTCTACCACTCGGGAGTAGCCAGTTTCCACATACCACCATCCCTCCAATCACCTTTATCAGAGACCAGGCAACATCCTAGATTCCTCTCATCTCTCACCATCCAAGTTTCAACCAGTCTCCAAGTCCTCCTGAGCATGCCCCACGTGGTCACGCACCACACAATGACGTTTTGGTCAACAACGGACCACATATACAATGGGGGTCCCATAAAAATGACACCATATATTCTAGGTGTGTGAGAGGCTATATGGTCTAGCTTTGCACAAGTACACTCCACGACATTCGCACAATGACAAAATCCCCTAGTGACGTGTGACTGTAATATCTTTTTGAATCTGAGTCTGTCACAATCCCCACTGGTACTTCCTTAGTGTGGGTTCTCATCATTTCTCCCCTGAACAATCACAGTGACCCTCTGACTTGTCTTCCTGCCTTATATTTCTCTCCCTGTCCATCCTTCCTCTACACCACTAGGTGATTTTCCTGAAATTCAAATCTGATTAAATCTGCTTAAAATTATCCAGTGCCTGCCCACAGCTTCCAGGATAAAAATCCACCGTCCACAGACTGAAGGTCCTTGTGGTCTGGCTCCTGCATGTGCCACCTTAGCTTATGAACAGGTGAAGCTTTTTTATATTTCTCTGCTTTTTTTTACACGTGTTTCCTCTGCCCTGATCACCCCTTCCGGATTTCTTAGTAAGAAAAACAAAACAAAACACCAGCTCAGATACCATGTCCTGGGTAGAATCTTCCCAGACTCCCTGTGACAGAGCTGGTCAATCCTCATGACATGCTCCTGTTATGTCCTATTTTTGCCCTATGAGAGTAATTATTTCACTGGGCCAGTAAACCATGAAGCAGAGGGCTACACGCAGAAAAAAAACCCAAACCTGGATTCAAATCCCATTTCATCACTTAATAATCCTGTAACTGCAAATAACATACTCAACTTCTCCGAATCCCAGCTCCCTTTGTAATATGATGAGAATAAAAACTGCCCACAATGTAATAGGTGCTCAATAAATGCTAGATTCAGCTCTCATTTTCTATTGCTTTGCAACTGATTATTTGTTTTTCTGTTTTCCTCACAAAATGGGGAAAAACTTAACCTAGAGATGGACCACAGTGGCAAAAAGCTCTACCCTCCTATTTTGAAACACTGACCATACCTTTGACTCTTTCCGTTCAGATTAAGTATTATTTTCCCTCCACAGATTCTCATTTTCTGTGGATACCAGAAGACCCATCAAGAAATAGTTCACAGCATTGTCAGTGGACACTTTACCAGTTTGAAAACCAAAGTAAAAAATTTGCTAAAGCAGAGTTAATCCTCACTATAAAGAAGGCCGTCTTTCTACCAGCTTGTACTCATGGGTCCCAAGTCTCAGATCCGTATCCATCCCCTTTTTTCCTCTCCTCTCACTCACTAGCACATTCTCTAGGTACTTCAAACTGTGCATAAGGCAACCCTTTGTATTGCCATCCATATAAGATGCTATGGAAGAGAAAGGATAAAAATAAATTTTTCTGGAGGTCCAGTTTACTTTGATCATAAACAATAAGATTGGGGAGAAAGTGCCCCTGTAAACCAGTGTGCTAAGAAGGCTGTCTGGTCAGGTCAGGTGAAGCTAAAGCGGCTTGGGCTGTGGGTTAACTACTGATAATGAGTCATGCCAAACATACAACCAGCTCCTACCCAGGGTACTCACTTCCTGGTTCCTCTGTGAGCTCTAAAACAGTTTTTTCCCTTCCACCCAGCAGTAAACTCACATAATACGGAATTCATTTACAAAAGGTAGGCTAAGTTTATTGAGACTCACAAGCAGTTGACTGACTCGGTGTGACTCAAACCACAAAGAAACCAGCTATTTCACTCCATTCTGAGTCCTAGGATTGGGGCCCATTCACAGGTTTACGAGTTTCTCATTGAGGGCAATTTGTGATTGTGTGAGATTGGCCAAGTAGGTCACCATCAGCAGGTCCTGGAAGAGAAAGAAGCCACAATGAGTGAGGAATGGGGCGGCAGAAAGGCCACCTCTATGATGGACACTGGGTGTGAAGACAGTCCTGGATAAATGACAGCTATGAAAGGCTGAGCAAGAGTTGAGGGTGGAAGATAGGAAGGAAATGCTTGAAAACACTTTCTCATCTCTACCGATGCAAATATAGACTAGGGGTGCTTTAGCCCAGGTCCATGGGTAGAATACAGGGGGTCTGTGGACTCAGATGGGGAAAATAAGAAATTGCATTTTCATTAACCTCTGAACTTTAGCATTTCTTTCAAGCATGACTCTAGATAACAAGTCACAGTAGCGTCAGCAGTACCTGAGCCAACGGAATCAAGGAAAGAGGTGCAAGGGAATCTCTGAGCATGTGTACTACCTCTTTCTTCCTCCCAACCTGGACTGCAAGGGGGCCAAAGGTGAAGCCCTGTCTCCTCTGTCCCCCTGCAGGCTATCTTCCCCAACTCCCTTCAGGTCGTGTGCATGTGCTGAGGTAGGGGACAGCACTCACATTGATGTTGCTGTTGAGCATGGTCTCGAAGTCATCAGGAACTATCTTGGGTACTTGGTTAACCAGACTCATCAAGAAGCGGCCCACTGTATTGTCAGCTGACACCTTTCCAGACTGAGCACCAAACAAAGATTTAATAAGGCAGTTAATTCTCACCACCGAGGACTGTCAGTTCATCAGCACATCTCTCAGCGACCTCGGGGTAGAGATCCATGCCCTCCTCCTTTTTTTCCTTCCCCCTCCTCACCAGTACATCCTCTGCGTACTGCAACACTGTGCTTAGGGCATCCTGGATGCGAGCCGACGCCCCTCCTACTTGCTGCAAGTCACTTGAGAGTCCGATCACCCGGTTGGGGCTAAAACAGGTCTTCATGATCAGGTCAACTGTGGGAGCGGGTTGGGGGATATAAGAGACACAGAGAATTCAGTCATCCCACCAGGAAAGACATGATTTCTAACCATCCTAACTTTCCCACCCCCCTCTGGACTCAGTCAACTTCCCCAGACTCCCCTATTCTGCCCTTATTAGCTTCTTCCTCCTGGAAGCTCAATTCCTGCACCTAGTACGCTAGTCATTGGTTTCGGTCTCATATGAATCTGGTGCTGCTAATTTCCCATCTCTAACAACTTCACAAGCAATTCCTCGAATTCTATTTATATAGAAGAATGACTGTGACTTCCACTCATCACAAACCTTAGATGAACAGTTCCTCTTTAACCCACCCAAGGCCCTCCATCCTTGTTAGAGAGCAGCAATCTTGTCCCCTGAAAAATGCCAAAGGCCTCGCAAGGCGGTATGGGAAAGTAACTCACCTCCGATGCGTTCTGTGTCATAATATGCATATTTCACTGTCAGAGGTGTGAACATCACCCCCATGGTCCTCCCAGGGACACCCATTAAAGTGCTGGGGAGAGAGAAGTCAAGCTAAACAGACAGTTTTGGGGGAGGGTTTCCATGTCTAGTCCAGGCTTGGAAAGCAGTCACACCAAGAGGATGGCTTCCAAGGTTCTGAGATGAGAAGGCTCGACCATGCGAAACCCAGGGTCTCATGGGAGCAAGACACTTTCTTCACTTAGCTCATTCCACACACCAGACCCTTGGCCTGCAAGAGGGGACTCAGCTTTCAGACCTGGTCTGGTCTCTTCAGAGGATTACTTCACACACTGTGCAATCTCAGTGATGAGAGGACAGGACACTGGATTTCCCTGTGGAGCTGGCTGCCTAGACATCCACCCCCATGGAAAAAAGAGATGGGACAGATCTTTTCTGGGACTGAGCCCTTCATGAGCATTGAAAAAAAAAACTGACTCTAGCCCACCAAGATTACATTGGGTACTATAAGTACTCTTACTAAAGGTGACTGCCTTTACTATGTCAACTACATACTTTGAACTGGATCTTGAGGAATCTGAAATATCCAGAAAGGCTAAGAAATCAGGCAATGGCTAGAGCTTAGGGGTATAACAACTGGCCCATAAGGCCACCCTCTTTGTCTTAGTGCATAATAGTTAACCGGTTATATCAGTGTCAGACACAGAAACAGCACAAAGCTAAACAGCATAAGAGATGCTCCAACAAATGCCTTCACGCTAACCAGAAAGTATAATCCTTCCAGCTCCTCTACCAGCCCCTTCTTCAGCACGTCATCAGAGCCGTTCCCAGCACCCCCACCAAAGGGCGTTTTAATTGCCAGTAAGCTCAACATGTCAATGTCGTAATGTTATTGTCATCAAAACTGTAGTGAATCCTGGGTTAACAGATGTGTTCAAAATAAGGACAGCCATCCTTTAATCTGTACTACCCAGGGTCCTGTGCTCAGTGCTAGGGATAACAACAAGCTAAAGGATGACTCTGAAAAGCAGTGAACATGGTGAAGGATCATGACCAGAGTACCACGTGAGCATTGGCTGTAAAAACTGTGAAAAGTTAGCTTCTAGAAACGATGTCATGAAAAACAACAGTTTGCTCAAATACCTAAAGGGCTGCCATTTGAAACTGGTTAAAAGCAAAATGTAGAAATCTGGGGAACAACCAGAATCGGTGAGTGAAAATTTCAGGGATAGATTCTGTTTCAGAGTAAAACCTTCCTAATGATTTTAACTGTTGAGAACGAGGAATGGGCTTCCTTGGGAGGCAGTGAGCTACACACAAAGATTAAACCTGCTTGGGGTGGAAGTGGGGTGTCATCTAGGCGTGGTATGAACCAGACAGCCTTTTATGCCCTTGTGGCCCACGACTCTGGTCACCTGACATAGGCCTTGATGCTCATGCGGCCGTTCTGGAGGCTCGTGTCCACAGTGAGGTGAATGGGGTTGGGGGCTTCCCGGCTGTAGTACTCATGGATCAGCACAGAGTGCTCTGTGATGTCATGGCCTGTAGCGTACCTGGAAAATGGAACATAGCTGTGGACTCATGTCTACCTGTGACATCAATACCAAACACGATGGTGGTACAGGTGTCTCTAGGTACCTGATACTTCTATGGTAGTGATACCCCCAGTGACAACCCAAATACCAAAACAATAAACACACTGAAAACTATATCAAATCAAATCACAGACTGACTTACAGCTATTGAAAAATTCCAAGGCACCACCAGTAAGGCAAAAAAAGATTTGCTCAGTAAAAGCTACAATTCAAAATAAATATTCTTGGCCTCACAGGATCAGAACTGCCAACAAAACACACTGAATTCACAGCTCCTTGAGATAACACACTTTCAATATTCTGTCTCCAAGAGGGAGTACAGTACCTAGTCAGGTGGCAAAAGACCTTGGCGATCACTGAGACTTTCCTTTCCCTCACCTCCCACTTACCAGCCCAGGATGAGCTCATTTGGAGAGACCTTCTTGTGCAATTCATACATGTTCTTAGCAAATTCCATGTCAACAGCCACCTAAGGAGGAAGGCAGAAAAGGAAGCTAAGCCAGAAGCCCATATAAAAAATGGATAAAAAGGACAAGAAGCTACCCCCAATAGTCAGAAGAGACCTGGGAAGTATGTCCAAATGAATGAAGCTCTTTGAAACTGTGGGAGCTCTAGTTATAAGCACAAGATGTTGTGCTGGAGGGGCCTTAATGAGAGCCAAGCAAATGAACAGCTACAGGCTGCACAGGGGCAGCTCAAATTCCCACTCACCTCATCTTCTGACTCGTTGTGTGGCACTGAAAAGCAATTGGTGACTTCCACAGAGTGCTTGTCAACGGTTCCTGTGAGAGAGCATCATCCATGTGTTATAAAGCCATAGGGCTCCCAATAGCCTCTGACCACTTTTCAAATACTTTCAGAGTTTTCTTCAAAATCAATGAACAAAAATCTGAACTCATGAGCTCCAACTTCAGCCATGTGCATCAACGGAAGCACGATTCTCTGGAGAACTGAAACTCTGAAGTGATCTCCAGCTCCTTCCTTTAACTGTCAACAATTAGGGCCTATTCTTCCTTCATAAGGTCCCCTCTAGCCTATCTGTTACCTCCTACTAACAGCCCTACTCCAGATCTTTACTCTGTGACCTTCATTTTTCAGTTTCCAGACTTTCTCCCTATACTTTAATCTACAGGTTAAATTATATTCTAATAACGTCTATACAGACCATTGTGGCCTTGTCTCAGAGCACAATTCAAGGAGCTTCACTTGTACCTCCCTTCAGCCACCTGGTCCCATGGGCCTAACCTTAACCCTAGCATCATCCAGAAACCCACCTGGGAACCTTACACATCAGTGTCAGTCTTTTACCACAAACTTCTATTCTTCTAGTTCTGATACCTTTACTCCCACTACATGTGCTTCTTGACCTCACTAAGATTGCTAGTCCCTTGCCTTCTCCATTGTTTCCCTCATCTACTGGAACCTCCCACCTGAAGCTTCAAAAGTGCCTCTCTCTCCACCACAGACCACAGTGTTGTCTATACCCCTAAGTGTCTGTTTAATTTCACTTCACTAGGTTTTTGCCCCCTTAGCTGAAACTATGTCCTCAACCCCAAGATTTCACGTTCTGTGATCTCTTGTCAGCATTCAACAGACTCGAGCAAGCCAAGCTTCTGAAATAGTTGTCTGCTATATTTCCATGCCACTATGACACCCTTCTACTAGAGCATTTATCATATTGTGTTCTAATTAGCTACAGTAAGAGTATAACTTCATCTTGCATTTAAGGTTAGAGCTTGTTTTATCAAACCTTGAATTCTAAGTACCTAATGGTCTTACGGATACATAAAAGGTACCAGTGGACTTCATTTAACCAAATGAAACATGTTTCATGAATGAATGTCTGAGAAAACCTGTAAGTTCTGCAAGCAGAATCTATGGCTTCATTCTCCAGCGAGCACTGCCTCTATAACACCTAGCACTGTACTGTGATCCCAGTCTAGAAGAGGATCTGAACACCTAGATCACAGTTGGTCTAACGAGGGTCAGCGTCACATTTGGGGCATGCAGCACAAACCTCGGGTGGAGAACTGTTTCTTTAAATAGCTTCAGTGAGTCTGGAAAATTTGACGGTGCAGCTGAAAGAGTACGTAAGTATTTGTGGAGTGCCAAGTCGGTGATGCAAAAAGTCACTTGTTACAGAAGCTCAAAGCAAGGCTGTCACAGAGGTTAAAAATGGGGGTCGGGTGGGGGCGGGGGTGTGGGATGAAGGATTGATACTGAACACTTGCCCTGGGAACCTGGAAGATGAGTGGAACTCAAAAAAACGAGGGCAAGAAGGGTGTGCACTTGTGGCAAAGAGAATACAGAGGCTTGGTTTGAGAAAAACCATGGCAATGTTTGGAAGATAAAGGACCATTTCATGCTTCTGTAAAATGCTATACCCTCAAAGACAAAGAGAGGGAGAATGTGTGCATGTGTTAGGGATGGAAAGGTCTGATGTGGTGGAGGACGGCAACTGACAGTTGTTTCGTACCAAATGTGTGCCAGCACAGTTAAGATGCTTTCTGCAATAATTTAGTTCTCACAAAGACTAAGTCTAAAGTAGCCCCTGAAGGAACTAGACTTCAGGTAATTTGTCCCAAGGCATGTGGCTAATATTTGGTGGAGGCTGTCTACAAATCCTGTCCTTTTTGCAATATACCAGTTGTCTTCTACGGTAGAAGGACTATTACACATTCAAGAGTAAGAAAGAGAAACGATGCACGGGAGTGGAGTGGATTCAAAGGTGTTTAAAATCTGTAACTAAGATGTAGTGAAAATGAATTTGATGAGATCAGCACTCCCCAGAAAAAGGGATATACAAGTAACTCCTTTTCAGTGCTTCTCAGTTTCACAGATTAACATAAAATAGCTATACTTCAAATTTGGAACATAGGCAGGGAAAAGGTTTTTCTTCGATTTGAAGGTTAAGCGATATAAACAGATAATACAATCGTTCATGCCCCAATGGAGAATCAGAGACCGCACTGGGGAAACAGGGTCTACACCTTAGGAACCAGTAAGGGACAGAGGATCAGGCTTAGATGTTTAGGAAAGCAGAATGTTATTGAAACCCTAAATGGGATCCTGCCAAACCGATTTACTTGTTGAGAGAGACATCTTTTTACAGATGCCCCACTCCTTTGCAACTGGTTAGAAACATTATTTGTAAACACCTGGGAAATAAAGACGTTTAGTCAATAGATGAAGGAGGAAAACGTGGTCACTGGGCTTAGGGAGTCAGGCTTTTTGACTTCCTAGTTGGCGCCTACACTCATTCGTGGTAGACTGGGACTGATTACGCTTGACGGAAAATGCTGCTGGGAAGAGGAAAAATAAAAAGTCAGTCACTCGGCACACGACATTTATTCAATAAGCAACTACTCCTTACGAATTTATGTCGCCCAAAGCGACTTCCATCTGGCAGGAAAGTTCAAGTTCATTGGGAAGTTAAGTCGCAGCAGGAAGGGGGGATAGAGAAACAGGTGAGCGATCAAGGGAGATGGGAAGAGAGGGGAGCAAGATGAAGGGAGGTGGGAGGCAGGCAGAAGGGAACGTGGATTTCCTCTGACCACTCACCGAGCAGGGTCCCGATAACGCGGGCAGCGCCCTCGTTGCGTCGCTCGTAGCTGTCCACGATGGAGGCCAAAATGACCGGGTGCAGGCGGACCACGCGGCCGCCGGGGAAGGGGCCCGGGAGAGCAGGACCCGGCAAAGACTGCGCCGGGGTCTGCGCTGGGGCTGGCGCCGAGGCCGGGGGCTGGCCGGGAGCCGCGGTCGCAGTCGCCGCTGCCGCCGGGTCTGAGGATGAGGCTGGAGCCGCCGTCGGGGCCGGAACCGGCGCTGGAGCCGGCGCTGAGCCTGGGGCCGGAGCTGTGGGTGAGGCCGGGGCTGGGGCTGAGGCCGAGGCTGGGGCAGCAGCCGTGGCTGGGGCTGGAGCTGCAGGAGGAGCACTCGCCGGTACCGTCGGTGTGGCCATCTTGTCGAGAGAGAAGGAGCCAGGAGCGGAAGGGAGGGAGTTACGACTATTAGGAACACGATAGGCTGAATACGCACCACGTGAACTAGATCTTTGTGCTTATTGGCTACTGATGACGCTTCTCGTGGCACTACTATTTCCTGCTCTGAGTTTGTGCTCTTTGATTTTGGTCCGATACACACTCGGTGAGACCTCAGCTAAATCGTTCCAAGTAAACTTGGGACCGCGCTTGGAGAAGAGAAACAATTCTGTCTGCGCTGCTACCGCCAGATGTAGCCCGAGAGTGGAGCAAGGGTCGCAATTTGTGGTTTCAGACTTTAGTGGGATAATGGATGTCAAAGTGCCTTTTATTTTTTTAAATTTTTTTGGTAAGGAAGATTGGCCCTGAGCTAACATCTGTTGCCAATCTTCTTCTTCTTCTTTTTTTTTCCTCTCCAAAGCTCCAGTACATAGTTGTATACCCTAGTTGTAGGTCATTCTAGTTCCACTATGTGGGACACCACCACAGCATGGCTTCATGAGCAGTGTGTAAGTCTGGCCCAGGAGCCAAACCCTCAAACCCCAGGCTGCCACAGCAGAGGGGCGAACTTAACCACTATACCTTGGGGCCCCAAAGTGCCTTTTAAAGGGTTTTGTTCTTAAGAGCCTCATAAGGGGTCAATACGGTGGTTTCTTCATTCAATGATTTTAATATATGCTAGACTCTCTTTTAGTTGCTTGGGACATATCAGCAAATAAAACAAAGATGCTTGCCCTTGAAAAGTTTACATTCTAGCAGGGAGAGACAAGTACAGTATATAATACATTAAAAGGTGATAAGTGCTATGAAAAAGGAAAAAGTGGAGAGTAGGGGGGGATCAGGAGTTGTGAGGAGGGAGGGTGGGTCACAATGAGAATGTGAGATATGAGTGGATTTGAAGGAGGCAAGGGAGGCAGCCATTATTTGGGAGGAGAGAGCCCCCAGGTAGAAGGCACAGCTAAGGAGCAGGCTATATCTTCAGCTCACTGATTCTCATTTCAGCTGCTATTTATTCTGTGTATTGAATTTTAGATTTCAATAACTATATTTTTCATTTCTAGAAGTCCTATTTTCCTTCCTTCCTCTCTCCTCTCCTCTTCCTTCCTTCTTTCCTTCCTTCCTTCCTTTTTTATTGGAGTATAGTTGACATACAATGTTAGTTTCAGGTGTACAATATAATGATTCAATATTTGTATATATTATGAAATGATCACCATAAGTCTGGTTAACATCCGTGATTACACATAGTTGCAGATTTTTTTCATTGTAATGAGAAACTTTTAAGATTTACTTTCTTAGCGACTTTTGAGTATGCAATACAGTATTATTAACTTCACTTGTTTACCTCCTATTCTTTCTTTGTTAATTTCTATTTTATCAACTTAATACATAATCATAGTTTAAAAGGTCAATTAGCGTTAAAAAGCCTATGCTCCGAATACAGTAGTTCCCTGTTCCGTCCCCTCACGAAACTCCCAATCACTCTATCCTGAAGTGACTGCTTTAGATATTTAACTGTTTCTTCTTACATCTCTGCACTTCTCAATAATACATGTCTACTGCTACCTTTTGGTTTGTCAATGTTAGGCATTATCTATTTACTTCCTATGCCAGAAAATTCTACTGCTATCCTTTCAATATAATTGCATGCTACATTTTAGTTAGATCAATATTCAGTGGGGTTACATTATTATTTCTATGCAAATGCTATTCATACCTGAGTGTTGTACTATACTACATTTTTTTTTGTTTTTCCTAGAGCCAGTAATTTCCTTATTTTACATATTTGTCTAGTTTGCTTGGTACTTATGGTTAGTTTTCCACACTGTCTAATAGCCTCAGTAGGATCTTTTGGAAGGCCCGTAGCATCAATCTGTCAATCTCTCTTTTCCTGGAGACCATCTGTCTGAGAATACTGTTCTCCTCTGTCAGGACTTTCTGGCAAACTGCCTAATAGGACTTTGTTCTGCTCTTTGACTGGATTCCTGCTTCATGGAGCTCCTGTCTTCCTCCTTTTTCATTTTGTTGGAGTACATCCTCCAGTGGTTTCAACAACTTACAGAAATGGTGCCATGGCTGAGGATGTGATGGTGACAGTGCCCCCATTCCTTTGTCTGTCGAGTCAAATTGCCCCAGCCTGCCCTGGAGTTGAGTGGTGGAAGAGGACGGGGGTTTCAGAGAGGGAGATGGAGGGTCTGTTGGACGCTTTTTCTCTTGGTAACAGGAGTTCATCCCTTTGGCCCCTGCCTTGTTTCTCCACTTTGCTGTATGGAGGAATGAGGTCAAGTTCTCTTGTGACTGGTCTTCATCCACTGACACTCAGAGGGAATGTGTGTTTGTGCTTCTCCAAGGCTCAGCGGGTTCTTCATCTGTTCTAGTCCCACATGTACTAGAGCCTGCTAGGTATCAAAGGGCAGGCGGTCACACCCATCCTTTTGATTCCAGCACCACCAAGCAGAAGTGAACTAGTAGGTTCGGGCTAAGTGGACCCAGGTTTGGCTTGGGGATCTGTCTGATCCGATAAAGGGGCCTGTTTCAGCTCAGTCCCCAGGGCCTTGTTGTTGGGCTCCTGCATCAGGGAGCTGAGTCATCCCTGCCTCACCTCCAGCTCTCCAAGTCTGAACAGACTGAACAGCCTAGACTGCACATCTTCTTGGCAGACGCCAGTGCTGTCTTCTCTTGCTCTTTCCTGAATTAGCTCCACCAACAGCAGAGATTTTCAGGGGAGCCCGAGGCTTTCTTGTAAATTGCTCCTGCTTCAACAGGCCTGTTTCTAAACTGCCATGTGACTTGCACCCAAAGTCCATTGTATCCTAACAGCTTCCTAAAATTTTCTCTCTCCTTTTGTTGTGTAGTCAAAATGCTGATATTTGAATCTCAGCAACTTCCCCCATTCCCAAATACTTTTTGCTCAGTCAGACATTTTGCTACTGAGATGAATTCTCCATTGGCTTTAGATCCCAGGTGTCACTCTGGACTCTGAAAGCTTTCTATCAATTGTTACTTTTCTCCTTCTGAAGGCTATCACCCTGCCAACATTTTAGTTTTATATTTTAAACACAACTCAAGATCCTGCTCTCCTTTCTCTGCTTTTTTAGAATGTACAAATGTCTCCAGTTTTGGGGAGCATTTAGCCTAACTACTTGGTCTCTGCTTCTGTCTTCCGTGTCTTTGCCTTTTCATCTCTTTCTGTCTCTCTCTGTCTACCCAGGTCATAGACCACAATTTAAATCCTGCTTCTTTGCCCACTGGTCTAGCTCTGGAAAATTATGGGAAGACATTTTTCTCTGACTGTCAAATTTCTCATCTGAGTGATCCCTGAGACAGTTTCTATGATGATCAAAAGGGATAATATATATAAATCACCCAGCACAAAGTGAGCTCACAGAGTGGCCATTTCTCTTACCATTATTTGAACTTGTCTCCTTATCTGAATCAGAACACTTCTAGCTTTAAAATCCTGTGTGTGACTGAGTCCATGAGGCTGATGTGTGGGGCCAATGGGCTGATGAGTATAGATTATTTTACTTTCTTGCCATAGCTCTTCAGTCCCAGCAAATATGCGCCAGCTGGATATAGGTTCACACAGGCAGGGAGGGGCTCACTTTTAAAACTTAAAAATGCATTTTTTTCTTAACCCAAACTGTCTAAAGAGGCATACAGAGCCTGATAAACAGTGGGTGTGAGAGGGAGCGAGAAAGGGAGGAGAGAGAAACAGAGATAGAGAGAGAGATCAACACGCCCACACGCCTTCCTATATCTTTGCTGACACAATAAAATATGTGACAGAGAGGCCTGAGGGGAATGAATAGAAAAATTCCCTGCTGTCTTATCCACTCATCTTTCTTGAAACTTTGCACGTATCTCGTATCTCAGCTCTCCTTGGCCTTCACTCAGCAGCTTGCCGAGCACCCAGAAAGCAGGGTGGGCTGAGGTACCTTCAGGCTGCTCTTTCCTCAGCAGCGTACCTCTCCTCTCTTCTCTCCCCCTTTTCCAGGTCATCAGTCTGAACGTGACCCTTCATTCTGAGCACCATGGCCCTGACCCGCAGCCCCCAGGAAGCATTGCTCTGGGCCTTGAGTGACCTTGAGGAGAATGAGTTCAAGATGTTAAAGTTCCGCTTACGGGATAGAGCCCTGCTTGAGGGCCAGTGCCAGCTGGCCCGAGGGGAGCTGGAGGGCCTCAGTCGGGTGGACCTGGCTTCTCGGCTGACTTTAATGTATGGAGCACAGGAGGCTGTGAAAGTGCTGCTCAAAGTCTTGAGGGACATGAACCTGTTGGAACTCGTGGAACAGCTTGGCCACATTTGTCTGAATGGTGAGTGTAGCTGAGGAAAAAGGGAGATCAGGGTGGCACCAGGACTCCCCCTCCCCTATGACATTTCCAGAGGCTTGCATAGCCTGTAATTTGTACCTTCTCTCTCTTGCCCTCTGCTCTTGCCTGGGAGCCCCAGTGCCCGAGGGTCCTAGTGGTCTCTAGTTGAGGGCTCTGACAACTGTCAGGTGGAGGGCCTGAGCAGAGGGTGGGATTTATTTATAGAAAGACTGGGGCAACTCATGGCCATAATGCCCCACCTCCTACCTCCACCTGTAGTGCCAGAGAAGAGGAGAGGATGAAGAGAGGAGTTTAGAGATTGGGGATGGTGTTGGTGAAGGGGGTTCTGCTAACCAGAAGAAATGGCATCAGGGTGCGGGGTCAGACCTTTCCCCAGTTGCTTTCCTGGCTGGTAGCTCAGCCTGCTTCTCAGAGAAGACAGCCTGCTCCTGTGCCCTGCTCTCTTAAGGAACCAGTGGATTGATGCCACCCTAGAGAGTGGGGTGGACATGGAGCCTAAATGGCTTCCTATCCCTTCTTGTGGGGTGCTGAGGAGGAGGGAGGTTCTGTTGGTTCCTTTGCTCTCTCCATAGGCTCCTTTCATGTCTGAGAGTTCCTCTGACATAGAGATGGGAGGGTTCCGTAGAGTCAGAGTTGTGGCTCCTGTTCCGAAGCTGGTTTATCTT